GTTTTGCCCATTATTTTAGTGCTGAAGAAATTAGAAGAGTAACATGAGATGAGTTGTCTAAATTCAGTTTAATCCTACCTTTGTAAACAATGACCCTTTGTGGTTTCATCTTGGACTCCCTTTAATACATCCTTATGACAATATTTGCAAGTATATAGAGCTGGAAAACCTTGTCGGATGCAAAGGGACTGCACACCATCATGTACCTGTTTTATATGGGATGGGTGGATGCACAGTCGATTGTTGGTAAAACGTACGTGCAATTAATCTTAATGTTGATGCGAATGCCTGCACCTTACCTTGTCTTATTATTGCTTGATTCATGCTAAGTCCATTGATGTTATGAGCTTAGGAAAATGAGATGGATTTATGTAAGTATATGTACTTATGTGAACTAGGACAGTGTGCAAATACTTGGTTTTATTGCGCACATCAGAATAAGTGGGGTGTTTAATGTCATCCCGATTTCGCGGATTACGAAATGACATTAGAGATACCATGCCAACAGTAAAAGTAGTCACCTTGAGCCGCATCTACGGATAAAAATACCTTTGGACTACAAAGTGAATGCAAACAGAGTAAAAGGAAGATGGGAGGCAGGACCATCGTCACCCACCATCCATTTATACGTCAACTATTATGACATTCTTCACTTCAAGGGTAGGCTTGTCAAGGTTTTTCTTTGTGCTGACCCTTGAAAAATACGCGCTCAACATTAAAACATGAGGGTTATCTCCTTTAAGTAGGGGTGCTTTTGTTTTGCAAAACTTTCTGTCGCAGCCTATTCAACGCGTACGTATGCAGCCTCATTCTCGTTTCCATCCATTTCCTATTCCATCTTTTCGTGTTTATTTAACCCTTAAAACCCTATCTATATATCAGTCTATCCATCCATTTATCCAGTCACTACTACTTTGATGGCAATATGTCCAACTAATCTACCCAAGTTCCAGACCTCTTCCAAAAGCCCGCATCTTTAGATATCCAAGGATTTGGGGGAGAGCAGGTTCATTGCGTTGTATGTATGTTACTACCTGGGGTTGAGTCAGCTCTTGATCTCAGAAATGGCAACTCTAAATAATTGTGTAATTTATTGCATCTCCTCAACTTGCGCTTCTACGATACACATGGACACCCTTGTTATCTCTTAGCAAACCTCTCCCACATATTCAGTAGAATCGACTTCTCTTACATGTCGGATTGCAGAAATCAGCGCGTCACAGAAGGCAAGGGAAGAGTCAAAAGATTCGATGCTTCCGTCAGAGACGTTGTCCTTTAGCTATTGCATTCGTGAAATTAGCTAACATTGCCTAGAAGCAAATGGAAACCACACATCTACCGTTAGCTATGATGACCACTACATTTAAAAAGTGCCACAATGGTGCTTCTTTAATGTAATTTCTATCAGCTCCTTTTATCTCTACTCATTTCCGTGGGAAGATTGGAGGACAATATTGAGTGAAGTCGAAGTCGGCGAAGAGTTCATCCACACTCTCAGCTGCCAGTCCAGCTTGTGCTAGTTGTGCGGCTTAGTAACACTGCCATCACTACGGTCACACTCCACACCCGCCAATAATTTCCCAAAGACCTCGATTCATCAGTGGTATGTGCATCTCGTGAGCAGCAGTGAGATGCAGGGTTGCGGTGACCGAGGATGAACATCTCCTGGGAGCCGCGCATTTCTCAATAGTAATCCAACATTTGCTTCCATTTGAAGGTTTTGTAGAACTCAAGACACCTGATACCACTCAATTCAAAACGCTTGCTGTATCTCTGTCCTAGTCGAGCTCTGAAGAAATACTGTATAGGTGTGTGACGTTATGCAAAGAGCCTATCAAGAACCAACCTAAGCGCAGTTAATTAAGCGCGGTAGCGACTGTACAAGATGCCTCTCCTTTGGTAGATTGGC